TGTGACTGACTTATTTCGCTCAGCATAATGTCCTCCAAGTTCATCCACGTTATGCGGTGTTTTGCAGATTCTACATTATTCTTTAGCGTGGTAGCATATCTTTTATCTCTCCTTGTTCTCTGATTGTTCTCCTAAGGCGAATAAAATGAAGAGCATCTGTTAATGCAAAGTGACAGAGTTCTTGCTTTTGAGGTGTGGAGTTTGCATCTTAAATAGCCTACCAGATGAGAGGGTTTGTTTAGTTTAGTCTTTCTAACGGAGCATGAAGAGTTGAGTTACATAACTGGGTGCCTATTGAAATAATGGGAAGAATAATGTGGGGATGTGAGTAATGGGATACCTAGAGTCTAGTCCCAGAAAATGGAAAGTTGAGATTGTATTATCTCTGAGGAGTGTTCCTACTAGGTTTAAAGATTTCACTGAATCTTTATATACATTTATAATGACATATTAATTTATTAAAACCCAAGAATTTCATAGCAAAACTACCCAGCACTCCAAGTGAAAGGAGGACTGTAGAGAAGTTTTGAGAGAGGAAATCTGGCATGAGACCTCCTTCAGAGAGGTCATTCTATAGGAGCTCATTTTATAGGACATGGTGCCCTAGGTTCTAGAGTGACCTAAGACACTTTATTTCAAACTTTTTTTTGAACTGAGAGCCACAGAAAGAACCACATGCTGTATTGTAACCCATATGCATAGGCACACATGGACACACGTGGGTATCAAAAACCTAAGCCAAAGTTTCATAAAGCTACACTTACTTGGTGTGATGCATTCTGATAGATTTCATGCCATTAATTAAAAAAAAAGACTGAACATTATGCTAACTGAAATAAGCCAGCCACAAAAGAACAAATACTGTAATGGTCTCCTGTCGTCAGACGCGAAGAAGACTGCAAAAAACCAAGGGCATTTGGAAGCAGTCAGCCCTAGGACATGATGGATCTTGAGACCAGAACTAGATGGTGCCTGGCTACCAATGCCAACTGCTCAGGAAAGGATCAAAACTAGATGGTGCCCGGCTACCAATGCCAACCACTCAGGAAAGGATCAAAACTGGAGATCCTGGATAGAGTGGGAGGAACCAAAAACAAAATAATGACCAGAATTACTGGTCAGATGGAGTCTGGTGAGACCCCTCCCTAATACTATGGCCCTGGGATACATTTTGGGCCTGGAATAAAACTCATTCCCAGGGGCTGGCTCTCAGCCCAATAGTAAACAAGATGTACACGCAGACCACTCAACCCAGGGTGACACACCTACATACTCTATGGAAATGCATCCCTTGGAGCAATCAACCTTGGGGCACCGGAGGGGCAACATTCGCATGGAGGAAATGCAGGGCACACAGGAGTGCATAACTGAGGGGCATGGGGGAGGGGGTACTGGGCAGGGAGGGGAGGAGACTGGGTTAGGGTTGGGGATGGTAAAAAGAAAAAAAAAAAGAACAAATACTGTGTGACCCCACTTATCTGAAATATCTAGACCAGGTATATACATGGAGATAAAAAGTAGAGCAGTAGTTACCATGCGCAGGGGAAGGGGGAATGGGTATGTTAATGATTGAATGGATACTGAGGTTTTGTTTGGGGTGATGAAAAACATTTGGGAACTCACAGTGGTGTGGTTGCACAATGTTGTGGATGCAGTCATTGCCACTGAATTGGACACTTGAAAAGAATTAAAATGGCAGATTTATTCTGTATGTATTTTCTGAGAATAAAAGTATTGGTTGCAGCCCACTTCAGTTGATTTCAAGACCCATTCATGGGTTGTAAGCCATAATTTAAAAAGACACTGTCCCAAGAGACTGTGCAAGTTGTGCCTGGTCTTAGTAAATCAAGGAGAACACTGATAAGAGCATTTTACCTCTGGGCCCTTTTGTTTCCAAAGCTTGGACTCTTTTTTTTTTTTTTTAATGTGCCACTTTTTAATTTTTTCTTGTTTAGATTTTAAAGTCCTCTGTTCTCCCATGATTGATCACTCCAAGTAGTGTATCTACCTGATGTAAATGTTTACCTTATATGCATGTCTACTGTTTGGCTGGGAGCTCTGGTAGCATAGTGCCTAAAGGCACTTGACTGCTAACCAGAAGGCTAGCGGTTCAAACCCACCAGCCACTCCTCGGAAGGAAGATGGGGCAATCTACTTCCGTAGTGATACTGCCTGGGAAACCCAAGGAGGGGTCGCCATGAGTCGGGTCCAACTCGACGGCACATAACAACAACAACAACAACTGTTTGGCTGGAAGCCACAGGAGTGAGTTCAATTCCAGACCTGAAGGGTGGCTAGGGGCTATAGTCTCAGGGGTCTCCCCAGGCTCTATCAGACCAGCAAACCTGTTTGTTTTTTTTTTAAATGATTTGAGTTTTGTTCCACATTGTTCTCCCACTCGATCCAGGATCTCCTGCACTGATCCCTCTCTGAATGGTTGACAGTGGTAGCTGGAATGTGCCACTTTTTTTAAATGAGATTTTTGTTTTTTACCGCCTTTTGCTAAGGTTATGCAATCACTTAGTGATTACTGTCTAGGGTTGTTTACGTTTCTTTAAAGAATCTGGCTATAGGGAAGACCTACATTTAATTAAAAAAAAAAACATGATCCATTCGTATGGTCTGCTACTGCATTTCATGGGCCTCAAGTAGACTTGTTGTCTTTAGTAGCTGGTCAACTGAATTATATATTTTCTCATTTTTCATTTAATAAATGCTTGCATATGTACAGCAATAAATCTATCTTCAACCTTACAAAAAGTGTGCAGTTCTTAAGAGGATAGAGGAACTCTCGATATAAGGAAAGAAATGATTAATTCTATTGGTGTATCCTTCTGTTCCGTGTTTTGTATAGCCTGTTCTAGGCCATGAGGCTGTTTGAATAAATTGTAGGGGTTTACCATTCATGAAAGCAGGTATGGTCTTACCTTATTCAGCTCCCTAATTTGGGGGAGCAAACAACCTCAACACTTTTAATCATCGTGGTAGGATTTGGTGTTGACAAGTTTACTGCAAGCCGTTAAAAAATTTTTTTTTTTAAATGTATTTCATGTTAGGTTTGGTGCTGTAGAGTCAGTTTCAACTCAGTGACCCCATGTGACAGAGTAGAATTGCCCCATAGGATTTTCTAGGCTATAATCTTTATGTTGCCAGGTCTTTCCCCACCTTCAGAGTTTCAACAGTCAAACTTTTGCTTAGCTGCTGAACTTTTAACTCTTTCACTACCAGGACTCCTTCAATCTACTTTGTAACTATCCTGAATTATAGACAGTTATTTTGTCTATAACAAAACACGGTGGCTGCGATGATGGGCTCAAGTATAGCAGGGATTGTGGGGCTGGCGCGGGATCGGGCAGTGTTTCATTCTGCTGTGCATGGGGGTGCTATGAGTCAGAAACGACTCAACGGCACTTAACAACAACAACAACAACATTTTGGTTTATAAGATATTCAATCAGAACAACAATTTTTTTAGAAAAATTCAATGTGCCAGTTTTAAAACCTGCTGAATTGTGGGAACTTTCTAAAATAACCGAAATCCATCCTTAAAATCTGCATGTTACAGGTTTAAAAAGTAAAATTAGAATTTAAAATATTCCTATGTATATATTCCTAGGAAATAGGATATTTTTTTCTCTTGTGAGCAATTCAAAGTTCATAAACCCCCAAAACTGTGCTGGTTTTAGTGTTTATTTCTTTGTCTGGTTTATTTACCCCTTTCCTTTACAATGAATTTTTTGAAACGCCAAACCCCACACCATCTAAATTATTACGGACAAGGGCGTACTTTATACACTGTCCTCCTGCAGACAGCTTCATCCAAATGCTCCATTTCAGCAGACTATGCCTTTATTAATTTTTTTTTCTCTCACCAACATTTCATTTTGAAAATGGTAATTTTATAGCAAATACACATATTGCTTTCACCTAATTTTATCAGTTAACATTTTTGGCATATTTGCTTCTTGCCCCACCCCTACCCCCTTTGCCCTTTTCTCCCTATTTATACACACCTACATCCACACACACACACACACACACACACACACAATGCATTTTCTGAACCACTTGAAAGTGAGTTGTGAGTAACTCCCGAGGATAAGAACATTCTCTTGTATAACCATGGTGTCATTATTAAACTTACATTAATACATCCCTTTAGTATACAGTACAGTCCTTTCTGCAGACTCTGGGTGGCACAGACAATTCAGTGCTTGACTATTAGGTGAAAGGTGGGTGTCTTGAGCGCATTGAGAGGCACCTGAGAAGACAGGTCTGCTGATCTGTTTCTGAAAGGCCCCAGCCTCCGCAGCCCGACGGGGCTGTCTGACTCTGTGCACGTGGGGTTGCGTGAAGCAGAATCCACTCGATGGTAACAAATAACAGCAAGTCTGTTTGGAAGTTCCCACCACAAGCCCGACTTTGGATCAAGGATCCCAATATGTCTCATGCACTGCATGTGGATTTTCTTGTTTTTATTATGGTAAAATATGTGTAACAAAAAATTAGCTGTTTTAACGAATTTAAAGTACAATTCAGTGATATTAAGGACATTGAGCATATGTTGTGCAGTCATCACCACTTTCCATTTCCAAAAGTTCGTCCCCTCAAACAGAAACTCAGTATCCCTTTAGCACTAACTCCCCATTTCTCCTTTCCTTCAGCCCAGGCAACCAGTGATCAACTTTTGCCTCTATGCATTTGTTTATATACAAATCATACAATATTTGTCTTTTTGTGTTTGGCTTACATAGTCCCTTAGCATAATGTTTTCAGGATTCCTCTATGCCATTCAATGTATCGGTGCTTAATTTCTCTTTGCATTTGGTCTTTATGTCTCTTTAAATTTAGAACAATGACACTGCTTCTTTTTGGTGTTTATGATACTGACTTTTTTTAAAGACTCCAGGCCAGTGGTCTTGTACAATATCCCATGTTAATTTTTCTTAAATATTTTTAAATAGTCTTAAGAACCAGATTAAATATTCTGAACAATTTGATGATGTATGTGTTATTTGTATGTGTGTGTCTTCTAGAGTATGGTCTCCGGCTTGGGAGTCAGATCTTCATAAAGGAAATGACCAGAACAGGTCTGGCCACTAAAGACGGCAACCTTCATGAGGGAGACATCATACTCAAGGTAGGCAGATGAGAGGAGGATGTTCATGTTTGTTCTTGGCTTCACGGTCTGCGTTTTCACATCTAAGTGCCAGCACACTGAAGGGCTTAACAGGAAAACAGGACTAAAAGCACCATTGTGAGATGGTATTTTTGTGTGTTGAGATACACGCATACATACATATATACACACATGTATAATATATGCATCTCAAAAACAAACTCACTGTTGTTGAGTTGACCGCAACTCATAGTGACCTCTCCTTGGGTTTCTCAGTCGGTATCTCTACCGAAGTAGATTGCCCAGTCTTCCTTCTGAGGAGTGGCTGGTGGCTTTAAACCGCCAGCCGTCTGGTTAGCAGTCAAATGCCTTAGACACTGTGCCACCAGAGCTCCCGTATATATGCATACATACATATATATATTTGCCAATTAAACAATTTTTACATGTATAATTCAGTGACAGCGATTACATTCCAGGAGATGATTTTTATCAGAAAAATCAGACTTTGAGATTTATAATAGTTTACTATCAGATTTTTTGTAAACCTCAACCACTGCTTTATTCTGTTTATTAAAGTTTAAGCTCCTACCATAAGGAAAGTTGAGAGAAAGAGTTAGTGGTATTACTACTGCTGAATATTTAATAGTTTTTGTAAACCTCTCTGGTCAGGAAATATGTGCCAGTCGTAAACCATACCATTGTCTTGAGCTTGAAAGTTAAATAAATTAACAGAGTAACTTAAGTACAGTACAGCTCTTTCATGCCTGAAGTGGGGATCCAGGTATGCTGGGTATTTAATTTAAAGGATAATTAATTTTTAATCAGTCAGTCATTCTAAAGCCCAAGTCTATTTGAATGTCTGAATAGAGCTGTAAATATTTTTAGCGAGGGGGAAAAATGAGTTTTCTGCTCTGTTGCAAGTGGTTTTATTGTCTATCACTTTGTTGCTGTTGTTGGGAGCCATCTCGTTGATAGCATCTCCTAGCAACCCGATGTGATGGAGTGGAACTGCTCTGTGGGGATTTCTACGATGTAATCCAGGTCTTTTTCCTCAGAAGTGCTCGGTGGGTTCGAACCACTAACCTTTTGGTTACCAGCTGAGTGCTTCACCATTGTACCACCAGGGCTCCTTGTATATAACACTCCCATTTGTCATAAATACAGATCAATGGAACTGTCACTGAGAACATGTCTTTAACGGATGCTCGAAAACTGATAGAAAAGTCAAGAGGAAAACTCCAGCTCGTGGTGTTGAGAGACAGCAAGCAGACCCTCATCAACATCCCATCACTGAACGACAGTGACTCCGAGATCGAAGGTAACGAGGAGGTGGTGGGAGGCTGTGCCTTCTTCATTCTCTTCTCTATGAGCATAGCCATTGAGCTGGAGATTAAATTCCCAACAGAACCTTCCCTTTTATTTTATTTTTTATTAAATGTACTCTTTATTTTATTGTTGTTGTTGAGAATATACACATCAAAACATACACCAGTTCAGCAGTTTCTGCAGGTACTGTTTAGTGACATTGATTGCATTTGTTGAGCTGTGCATCCATTCTCACCCTCCTTTTGAGTTGCTTCTCCACTATTAACGTGAATTCATTGCCCCTTAAGGTTTGTATCTGATCATTTAAGTTGCTGTCATCAACTTGATCCCATGGAGATAGTACTTACAAGAGCATAACATTCAAGCTTATTATTTAAGCTAAACTATTGTTCAGTCTTAAGGAGACTTCAGGTTTTACTTTTGGTTTAAGGTTTAAAGATTATTTCAAGACAGTAGTTTTAGGGGTTTATCCGCCCTCCAGAAAGTCTAGAAACCATGTGAATTTAAAATTCCTTTCTGCCACGCCACCCGCTTTGATCAGGATTCTTCTATGAAATCTTTGATCAAAATATTCAGTAATGATAGCTGGGCACTATCCAGTTCTGGTCTCATGGCAAAGGAGGCAGTTCATAGAGGCAATTAGCCACATGTTCCATATCCTTCTGTTCCTGACTGTCTTCTCTGTTGCTCCAGGCGAATGGAGACCAATTGTTGTGCCTTGGATGCCTCCTTACAAGCTTTTGAGGCCCCAGGCACTATACTAGGAGGTAGAACAGAAGCATTAAACATGCTGTCAGGCCAGTTAGCATTTTGTTTATCCATTCATCTGTTGCTGTGCTTTTAGATTGTTCCTAGCTTTTGGCTGTTGTTAAAGTGCTGCAGTGAACATTGGTGTACAAGTCTTTGAGTCTCTGCCTTCAAGTCTTTTGGGTATAAACCTAGGAGTGAGGTTGCTGGGTCATATGGTAGTTCTATTTTTAGTTTTTTGTTTTTGAGAAACTGCCACACTGTTTTCCACAATGGTTGGTAAAATATCTACTCAAATCCTTTGCCCATTTTATGATTGTCTTTTTATTGTTAAGTTGTCAGCGTTTTTATATATGTTTTGGTTGTTAGAGTCTTGTCAGACATATAGTTTCTAAATTCTTATAGTCAGTAGCTTGTCTTTTCACTTTTTGGGTAAAGTCTTTTGATGAACAAAAGTTTTTTATTTTTGTGAAGTACAATTTATTTTGTCTTTTACTGTTCATGCTTTTGTTATTTGTTGGATAATTTGTTGTTAAAAAGCTAGGCCTGACAGTGCTGCCCCTGCTTTTTCTTCTAAGAATTTTGTGGTTTTCGTTCACACATTTAGGTCCTAATCTATTCTGAATTTTTTTTTGTGTAAATTTTATTATTACTCTTTTCAGAGAACCAACTTCTGGGTTTTTTTTTTTAGGATTTGGGTGAAGATTTACAGAGTAAATTCACTTTTCATACAGCAGTTCACATATACTTTGTCTCAT